CCAGGCCCCCGCAGGGCGGTCCACCGCCAACGCCAGGTAGCGAGTGTCCCGGGACGGGCAGAGGCTCTGTGGAGACCAGGGCTCAGCCCGGCTGGAGGCTTAGCCAGCCCCGCTCTACCGGTGCCCTTCCTCCCATTGCCACTGGTTCTACGCTTCTCTCAGTACCGCAGACCCTGCAACAAATCCACGCCCCTGCCGCGGCCCAGGCAATGCCCCATGCAACTCCCTGGTACCTGGGCACCCGGCAGCCCAGCCCTCGTCACAGTGACCTCAGGGCCAGGCCCAGGCCCAGGGTACAGCACCAGCAGCGCCAGCTCCGGGGGGTCGGCTACTCCATGCGGGGGCTCCTGGAACCTCAGCGAAGGTGTGGGCTCCCAGGTCACTGCAGCCAGGACAGCAGGGGACGCCTGAGCCATTGAAGGCCAGGCCCGTCCCACACTCCCCTGGGAGTCTTTGGGATCCGTCCCTGCTGCTCTGGCCACTGTGCAGGGGGCCTCGTGTCCCTCTTCACTGCCTTCCTGCAGCCAGGGAGCGGTGACCGCCCGGGCAGGCAGCGGCTGCGTCTGAGGCTGTGGGTGGGGCTGCCGCCCTGGGGTCTCTGGGTTAGGGCGCCCGATGAAGCCCCTTCCCCGCAGGGAGTCTCTCAGGCCAGTGGCCCCGAGAACAGGCTGGCCAGGTGTGGGGCGGTGGAGAGGAGGGTTCCACTGGCCCCGAGCCACAGGGTGGTTTCTTCACGGGTGGCGAGAAGACAGCAGCTCTCTCCCTGCCGCTGCGGCAGGGGCTGGTCTAAGAGCTGGGCTTCAGGGACAGGACAGAGCGCGGTGCCCACCTTCCAGGCCATGGACCCACAACCTAGTCCCAGAACAAGACCACAGCCTCCCTGCCCAGGGTGTGGGCTCTGCCAGCCCCTGATCTTCCCTAGGAGGACCTGGCCCACCTGAAGGAGGCCGGCGGTGCCAAGCTCGGGGCTGGGCCCCACGTACCTTCCTCCAGGTGCAGGACCACCAGGCGCTGCCCCCCAGGGTCCCGCAGCCAGGCCCCCAGCCGCTGTAGAGAAGGCAAGGCAGCCTGCCTGTCACCGGGGGTGCACACCCCAAAGGTGGCCAGGTCTCGGGGGC